AAATTGTTTTAAATTTTAAAGAAATACTTGTAAGTCACCATGATCACTCATTTTATGCAGTGCCACACATAGCTCTATTACTCCCCACAGGGTGGCCTTGGGCAGGAACTCCCATAACCAATCTGGCTCAAAGAAATTGGATCCTGCCACAGGAAGAGTGGCGGAAATTCTCAGCAAAGTGGATCATGGGGATCCTAAAGTGCCCTGTCAGGGACAGGGCCACAGGCTAAGTGACTCTAAATAGGTTCTCTCTAAATCGCCCAGTCCATGGGCCCAGAAACAGCCATCAGTCAACCCACAGGCAGCTCGCAGCAGTGGCAAGAGCCCTCAAAGTGCAGGTGGGTCAAGTTTCAGCTCTCCACTTCTCAAGTGGTGGCCTTTGGACCTCCGTTTCCCATCTGTAAAATGGGTATAATAAAGTGTTTTATAAATTAAGGTATCAAGAATACCAGGTAGCACTGCATTTTTCTACTCTCCCCCAGGTCTTCCATTCCTCCTCTCCAGACTTCTCTCCCTACTGTTCTGTTGGCTCTTCCATAGCTCCTGGCACCCCATCTGGCTAGTTCCTCTCTGGTAGTTTAGCATTATTCCCCGTCATCAGGCTCTTCCTTCTCCTGAAATAGACTTCACACTGTGCTCCTTCTCTGATTATTAGAGGGGCCTGAGGATCCACCTGGGGTTGGCAGGAAGTAGTGCCACGAGTGATAAAGGACCTCTGGAAGGCACTATTGTCCTTCCAGCCAATGCGCTGCCAACCCTACCATGCAGAGGGAGAATGCTGCTCTACCACCCCAAGCCCTGAGCACAGTGCCTTTCCCACACTAGCAAGTGGCTGATACGCTCTGCTGCAGGAGGGCTCACCCATATCCCACGCACACACACTGCTGGGAGCCTCCCTTGAGCTTCCACCTTGGCCTCTCATTCCTAATCTGGATTCTTTGTTTTTTTTCTTTTTTTTTTGGCACCTGGGGATTGAACTCAGGTCCTTGCACTTGCAAGGCAGGCCACCGAACCGCTGAGCTAAATCCCCGGCCCCTCTTTCTTTCTTTCTTTCTTTCTTTCTTTCTTTCTTTTTTTTCCATTCCTCTACCCTACTGAAATTCCATTTATTCAATCATCGTTGAGCAAGTCACAGGTGACATACTGAGGACAGCACCAAACCAAAGCCCAAGACACCAGTTTTAAAAGTGACGTTTTCCACTCAGGACTCTTTAAGGTAGAAGGACTAGGATGTTTGTTTGTTTGTTTGGTACCGGGAATCAAACTCTGGACCTTGTGCTTGTGAGGCAGGCGGCGGCACCACTGAGCTAAATCCCTGGCCCTAGGATTAGGATTTATAAATACCCTTGTCCATTAGTCATTCTCACTCCACTCCAGGCACTGTAGCTTGTCTGCAAGATAACTACCACTAATTCTTTCCCTCCACATCCTCGCCACTCCTCCACTAAAAAGGGGATCTTGGGTCTCTGCTACCTTAAGTCTGGGGCTGACCTGTGACAACATGGATCAGTAAAATACAGCAGAAGTGAGGCCTTGTGCTTCCAGTTATTTTCCCAACATTTAAGAGAGCTGGTGGAGTCTGCATCCTCACTCCTGGACCCCTGAGCTGTCAGGTAACCAGTCCTGGCTACTGTGCTGTACAGAGGCCATGTGGGAGAGGTCTGAGCCAGATATTTACAGTGAAGAAGCCATCACAGACATCTGGCCCAGGCCAGTCCTTTGAGAGACTCTAGCCCCAGCCACCACCTGATGGCAGTCATGAGAGACCCCAAGTGAAACCACCCAGCCAGGCCCAATCAACCTGCAGAACTGTCAGAGATAATAATACTTCATTGTTCTAAGCTGCTGTCTGAGTGGTCTGTTACATAGCAATTGATGGCTAAAACACTCTTCATGGTCAATTCTTAACACAGGTGCTGGAATACTCTTTTAAACACATAAATCAAGTCATGTCATGTCATTCTCCCATTCAAACTCCCAAATGGGACTGGGCGTAGCTCAGTAGTAGAGCACATGCCTACGGTGGACAAGGCTCTGTGATCATCCATAGCATGGAATAAACACCCAAATAAATAATAAGAGCCTTCTAACGGTCTTTCCTCTTTTCATGTATGTGGTATTTGTGTATGTACATCTAGATTTATAAACCAATACGTACATATCAGGAAAGCACATATATAGCTCTGTATGTATCTACAGTGGCATGCGTGACACTAATGACCCTGCCTGGCACAAGGAAAAGCTCATTCATATATCTGTATCTAAATTTCCACATACACAATACACGCTCACAAAACTTTACAAAGTTATAATACCCAAACCACAAAATATACAACTCACGCTTTTGTTTTTGTTTTGTTTTGGCTTTTTTGTTTGGTACCAAGGATCGAACAATGGTCCTTGCACTGGTGAGGCAGGCGGCACAACCATTGAGCTAAAATCCCTGGCCCCAACTCAAGCTTTCGAAGTATATAGTTCAAGGAATTTTAATATGTTCAGAATTGCACAACCATTACCCCAAACCATTTTTGAACATTTTCATCCCCCTCAAAAGAAACTTTGTGTCTCTTAGCAGTCACTCTCCAATCACCTCCAACAACCTCAGCCTCTGGCACCCATTAATTTACTTCAGATTTGCAGAGTTGCCTATTTTGGGCAATTCATATAAATGGGAACCATAAAACACATGGTCTTTCGTGTTCTTCTTCTTGCACGAGCATATTTTTAAGGTTCATCTATGCTGTAGCATGTACCAGTGCTTCATTCCTTTTTACAGCCAAATTCTACTCCACAGCATGGATTTGCCACATTCTGTTTGCCCATTCATAAGGTGAAGGACACTGGATTGTTCCTGTTTTTGCCTACTCTCAATACTGCTACTAGGTATGTTCTTCACACATGCACTTCTGTGTGGATGAATGTCTTCATTTCTTTTGGTAGACAGGTGGAAGTGGAGTTTCTGGATCACACAGTAACTCTATGTGTGAACCTTTAAGGAACCGCCAGTCTATTCTCCAAAGTGGCTGTGCCATTTTACATTCCCACCAGGAGTGTATGAGGTGTCTCCTTTATCTACATACTTAACAACCCTTGCTACTCTCTGTCATTTATTACAGCCACATCCTCGTGTGTGAAGTGGTATCTCACTGTGGCTTTGATTTGATTTGCATCTCCCTGATGGCTAATGGCGTGGAGCATCTCTTCCTGTGCTCACTGGATATCTGTCTGTCTTTGAAGGCAGGTCTAGTCACATTCTTTGCCCATTCTCTAATTGGCTTATTTGAATTTGTATTTTTGCATTGTAAGACTTGTTTATGTTTTCTTACCGTAAGTTCCTCATCTCAAAATGTAACTTGCAAATATGCACTCTACCTCCCACAGACTCTTACAACATGCAAAATAAACCCTTAATTCCTTCCTGAAGTTCAGTAACCACCTGACTTTGCCCTCTTCTGCCACCTCACTCTCTGTTGCCACACTGCTCTTCATGCTGCTCCTTGATTATGTCAGGACCCACCTGCCTTGGGGTTCCCATACCAGCAACGCTCCCTTGGCTCAGGCAGTTTTCCCAGTGATCCTGAGCAGTTCACCCCTCACCATCTTGCTCAGATGTCACCTTCCCAAAGAGCCCTTCTTTTTTTGTACCAGGGATCGAACTCAAGACCTTCTGCTTACGAGGCAGGCAGCAACACCACTGAGCTAGAATCCCAGGCCCTCCAAAGAACCCTTCTTGCCTGACCATTTTATCCAGAGTATCACTTTTGTCTCTATCATTTTCCACCCCCCCCAGTGTTATCCTTCTTAATAGTGCTTATTATAATTTGACATATTATGCACCTGTTGGTCCATACTATCTCCAGTTAGAACCTCAGTTCCATGAGCATCAGGAATGTTGTCTACCTTGTATGTTATTACATCTTACATGTCCGAACAGCATCAGGCACATTGGAGGAACTCAATAAATATTTTTCAAATACATTTACTTCTATTTACTGAATGATTGCTGTGAGCCAAACACTCCACAAAGCATATCAAATAAAATATTCACTTAATTCCTACAACAATCCTATGAAACAGATGCTACTACTGTCCTAATTTTTTAAGAGTAGAGGAAATCCACATAAAGAAATCTCACGTGACTTCTTCACTGCCCCATCTATGGAAGTAGCACAATCAGCGTTAAATGCTGGCAGCCTGAGCTCCAAAGTCTAGGTTCTGCCATGTCCGTCCCCACCATGTCCCTTCCTTGCAAGCCTGTTTCTTCATTTACGGCACAGGAGTAGCCTCCGACCTCACAGGGTTACTGACAGACTGGCCAAGAGGGATCCTGTGAAGCAGTGGGAACAGTGCCTGGCACACGGCGGACACTCAGTAAGTGTGAGCTATCCTGACGGTGACAATAATTACAATGATAAGCTGATATGGGTGCTGGGAAATCATCAATGCTCTGGAATCAAGCAAAGCTATATCAGTGCCAGGTGGTTACTGTTCAAATCCATACTTGTATTCAAATTATGTCTTTTTTTTTTTTTTAGTTCCAGGGATCAAACTGGGGTCCTTGCACTTGTAAAGCAGGTGGTGGAACCACTGAGCTAAATTGCTGGCCCCCAGATTATGTCTTTTAAAGGATGGCTCATCCTTCACAGAGGGCCACAGGATAGTTTCAGAGTTTCATCAAAGGAATGCTGAGGCGTCTTGACCATTTGTCATCAGCAAGAGTGTACAGATGCTTCAGGGAGGACAGGCTCTTTGAGGCTTGATGCAGTTTTGGCCCAATTCAGGATGGCTGTTCTTATGGGGCACTGTCACACATGCAAGTTCCTGTCCAGAGGGTCCCATAGGCAAGAGTCACTATATGTAACAGAAGCCCACCCCACTCGTGGCAACCCAATAAATGACTGAATAGCATGTATGCTAAGAAGAAGATGCCTCCCAGGGACTTTATATCCATGCATTGTCACACAGGAAAATCTGGAAAATGGAAATCAAACCCAACTCACCAGTGTGGGTCTGCCTGTGTGTCTCTAGGGCATCCTCCTTCGAGAACTGTGCACCGCACTGATCACAGACAAAGGCTTTGGCACCCGCTGAAACAGAAGACAGGAGGTTACCACTAGATCCAAGTCTGGAGGGGTGGGGGTCAAAACAGCACAGGTGAATGCTAGGGGGATAAACCATGGCCCCAGCAGCCACCCCAGATAAGTGGCCATCCACCCAGACGAGTTCCAAATGCCCTCACCGAGGACTCTCCCAGAGTCTGCACGACTACGACAAATGAAGTTGGAGTCCAGGTGAGTCACCCCCATGAAGAAGGGTCACTCTGAAGGGACAGCACCACATGAAGGATGGACAGGAATCAATGATACCAGCAAGGAGAGATATTCCCTGCTTCCTCATACTTTGTGGGGAAGGAGGCACTGCTGATGTACTACTACCTACACTTGGTTATGCACAGGGGCTTGTGACTCAGTATGTACAGAGTTAACTCATCATTTACCCTCAACCATCACCTGCACCTAACCTATTTAACACCCTGCAGTGACTCCCCAGCTAGAGGGTGGAGCCTGAACTCTTTCCCCGGGACTCATGAAGCTCTTTCCTGCTCCACTGGCTAAGCCCTCGTCCCTGCTCTCTGATCTCAGCTACACTGGACTACATTTCCCTGGACTGCACATTCTTCCCCATCTCTGGCCCCCATGGTAGAACTGAACTCCTATTCATCATTTATGCTTAATTTTTGACACTTGTTTCTTTACTTCTGGGTTGGGAGCACTTTTTTCTGTTCTCATAGCATTCTGTGTAGGGTTCCAAATCCTGGTCCTTATCAGGCTCCATTCTAAACATCCATGGACCTGTCTCTCTCCTGCCACACTGTAAGTGCTCTGACAGAGAGACCGTGTCATTCTGTGCACAGCTGCATCTGCCTGGCCCATGGCAGGAACCTATGACTCTACATATCTGTAGAATAAACAAAATCAATTTGATGCAATTTAGTTCTAATGCAACTGAGAAACAGTATTTACAAAGCTTAACACGACAACATCACCACCTCAAGATGAAACAGTACTTTTTACCAGTGGCTAAGTCTTTAAGGCTCTAATATGTCATCCCATCTAGGAATCACCTATTTCAAGCCTTAGAACTGTTCCTTCAAGATGTGCTCTAGTGTAGCTCTTCCATGCCTGTGGACAGTTACTGTCCTTCCAGGCCGTTCCTGCATCAAGCCCAGCATGCTGAAGGACTCAGGACGGTCTCCACACCACCAGCCACCCCTGCCCTACCCGACATGTGTAGGTTCCTTGAAGGCCACTAGATTTCACCCACATCCTTATGCACAAGGGTGCCATGGCTCACAATCTGTACTAATTCTGACTTCCTCTTCGCAGCTTCCCAGACTTCCATAACCCGCCCCAAAGAACTGGTGCTCCATAGGCAGGTTGTTCCCATCACCCTCCTTGGGCACTATTTGGCGACCCCTGAGTATCTGTGCTTAAGCAATGCCCACCTCATTCCGCTATTTATCCCAGTCCTGTTCCACAGTCAAGACCAGAGTATGCACCCATTGAGCACTCCAGCACCTCACTGCTCTGCTCTGCTCTTTCCAACCTCCTACTACTGTTTTGTTCCTTTCAATATGTGGGAGCACTTCCTTACACGTGCCTCATGGCTCCGTTATGCACAGTAATGTTATGCCTCGTCAGAGTCAGAACTACTTTTGACACATAGCTGTTGTTATGGTTGCTAATGCTGTTTTCCATCCACCTCAATTTTCCTGAGGCTTTACTATGTACCAGGCACAATGCCAAATGTTTAATATACAACATTTCATGTAATCCTAATGACAACTATTTGAAATACATATAGTTTTTACTTAGCCGATGAGTAAGTTCCTGGCTCAGAAAGGTCAAGTACTTGTCCAACGCCACACTGTGGTTAAGAGTAGAAATAGATTCAGAACCAGGTAGCCTGACACCAGAGCCTCTGCTTTCAATTCTTGTACGTTCAGCCTCCTTGGGGATCTACTGGAAAAGCTGTTGTATGGAAAGGAAGATGAAGTCTGACTTCTTTTAATGCAAAAAAAAAAAAAAAAAAGAGGAAAAGAAGAGGAAGAGAAAGAAAGAAGAGGAAAAGGAAGAGGAAGAGGAAGAGAAAGAGAAAGAAACCTAGCTATTTTTTACATCAAGGCTTTGTGTAAAACTGTGTTGGGAAAAATGGTTCCAGCTACTTTTTTAAAAGTTTGAAGTATGAGCATAAAATCAAGGAATATAGCTCAGAATACAGAGTCTTACACACCAAAGAACAGGTCTTGTTATTGAAGAGAATGAAGAATCTGCAGTGTGAGGCCATCAACCTCATCTATCTCACTGATACCCATATCCCAAATGAGGAACAGGATACACACTAGTGGGTCCTCAATAAATGCAAGTCCACTGACTGCATAAAGGACTGATAAAGCACTCCTGGGAAGATATGAAACTGATTTTCCTAAAGAGAGTTAAAAATAAATATTGTCACTTGTCTTAGGCAGCTGGGGTTGAATTTCATTTGGAGGCAGGAAGAATCTCATGATGACCTCTGGTGTCCCTTAAAGCTGCAGGATATCCTCAGGCCAAGCACCTGGTACACAGATTACAGAGCTTCAAACAAAAGCCAAGAAGATTCCTACCAAGCCAGGTGTGGTGGTGCACGCCTGTAATCCCAGCACTCAGGAGGCTGAGACAGGAGGATTGCTGTGAGTTCGAGACCAGCCTGGGTTGGGCTCCATAGTGAGTTCCAGGTCAGTCTCAACTACATAGTGAGACCCTCTCTCAAAAAACCAAAAACAAACAAACAAACAAAAATACTACCAGGATGACAGCGAACCAGTGTCTGCGTCCACAGAGCAGCAGCTAGGACTATTTTCATTCCTCTACACTGGAAATGCAGACACACATGCAAAAACAGAGCAGGCCAGGACAGGGGAGCTGGGACCAAATGGACAGTTTCCTCATAATGAGCTTCTCCCCCAAGCCTTAAATCATTAGCCACCAAGGATTTTCTGTGGATCTGTAAGGGATCTGATTACACTTGCATTTCTTTCTTTGGTTCTTTTCTGTTCTCATGGCTCCCTCTAGAAAACTGGGAGGGGAGGGTACCTTGCGGGCCTGGCCAGCATGCAGGAGGCCTGTGATCAAGTGAGAAGTCTAGCACAGCGGGCTTAAAAGGGATGTGGTGTGGGGGGTTCTTAGAAATTGTCATCATGTGGGCTGTAGTAGCGTCTCACTTTAATGGCCGAGAATCGGAGAGAAAGGAAGAAGGACAGGTACCAAATGAAGGGCGGATGTGCACCATCCGGCGAGTTCAGATGAAGATAAAAACAGATGAGCACACAGGAATTAGTAAAGGTTGCTGGCTTGGCACAAGCCTGACCACATCTGGTTGCCTTCAACTCCTCCCCACTCCACCCCACTCAATGAAGTCACGAAATTGAGCTCAGAGTGTGAAAGTCCCTGTCCTCAGGGACTCTGTGGGTCAGGCTCCTCATTACATGCTGATGCCACAGACATTGGCCTCCATTTGCAAAGCCCAAGACTCCCCCTACCCTACCCAGAGAAACTCTGACTCCCCCCCAACTCTCCAGGTTGAGCAAAAGAGCAAAGAGCCAGGAGTTTCCACAGACACAAGAGCCAAGCAGAGTGTGCCAGATGAAATCCGTTCTCCCAAGGAGGCTTGTGCCTTTAAATTGTTTCTGTAATGGCTGGCTCAGAGGCAGGAATATTTGGCAGCCCTGAAATTAAAAGTGATAAATTTCCTTGCCAAGCTTTGATCGATAATAGAGGCCTCATCTGTTAATCAATAAGACAGTCTCTGCCTGTTTACTGTGCATATGTTGTTTGCTGTTGCCTTCAGTATGATGTCAGGTTTGCATTCAAAGCAACTCAAGTGTGTATAACCCACATGGCTATTCCCAAAACGCATTACAGTGACATCATTCAGCCCCCAGTACATTTATAAAGCATCAATGGAGGGATGGAGGAAGAGAGAAGGTCATGCCAGCTGAGAACGACAGGTGCACATGGACCTAGCAGAATTTCCTGGGGCTGATCCTGGAGCAGGGAGAACCTCAGCGACACAGCCCAGAGACTATGATTGCCACATCTTTCCTGCTTGGAGCAGCTGGGTTTGGATGCTCGCTAAGTGTCTGCAGGGAGGCAGATCACAGTACATAAACAAAAGAGACAAAATTTCTGCCCTCATGGGGCTTACTTTTGAGAGTGGAAGATTTTTTAAAAAGTAAGTTAATATAAAACAGGCCAGGTGGTGATAAGTGATAAGAAGAGATGAATTGCATAAAGACAGATAGAGCACCAGATGCTGCCAGTATCCGGGCAGAGAGCTGGAGGAGGGCGGCCAGTAAGAAGCAAGGCCACAATCTGGGACTGACTGCTCCAGGCAAAGTGAGAGTGAAGAGGCCAGTCGGATGGAACAGAGTTGGTGAGAGGAAGGTGGGGAGACAGGGTCCAGAAAGGGATAGATGGTGGAAAGGAAATTAAATAGCAGGGGGCAAATGGCAGGAAGATAAAGTGAGCTGGCCCTATGCGATCCTTACTATCAATCACAGAGTCCAGTGAACAAGGAAAAAGAAGCACAGGATCTACAGCCGGGAGAACTGGGCCCCAAACACTGCTCACTGCTACTCAACCTGCAAACTGGCAATGGACCACAGCAGTCTGCTCCACCAAGGTGGGTGTGAGGCAGGTAGGAGACAAATAAACATTAATGAGTAAAAAACTTCTTGTTAATCATAAAGCACTCTGCAGATGTAAGAGATCACGGATGCTATTTACAACTCAGGAGGCAGTGGGGTGAGTGTGGCTACAGGCTTAGAATTTGGGTCAGACAGAGGAAAGTTCAAATCCCAGTAGAGCCAGTCACCAGCTGTGGCCCTGTCAGTCGCCTGATTTCAGTATGTTGACTCACCACCTGTAAAAGGGAAACAGCAACAGTAGGTCCCTCAGAGGGCCCAGGCAAGGTGAGTAAAGTGCTCAGCTCCAGATCCAGAGGGAAGATATACAGAGCCAGTAACTCGCAGCTACCATCACTGCTA